GGGGGGGGGGGGGGGGGGGGACGAGCGCGCTCGCTACATGGTGATATTGCGTGACTGCTGTCGTTCACGTCCAGACCAAAGGCTAGACCCTCAATTGGCAGCGCCTACGATAGCGGCGTGCAATTTGTCAGGGTTTCAACCACCAGGCGGGATGTGGGGACGGGGGGGTGGAGTGAGGACGGGGTGATATTTTGTTTGCGTCCAGGTGGCTGCTCGTGGGCCGTCGGTTTCGGTTGGTGATTAGGCTGCCAGGTGTTGTGTTCGGGCAGGGGTGGTGTCGCCTGTGGTGTGGCGCGACTTTTTTCAGCCGTTCCCGAAGACCGTTGTTTTTATTCTTTTGTTTTTTTCAATATTTGTTTGGGCCCTCTCTTGGTGTCATTGAAGGCGGCGTTTTGTTCAGCCTGGAGGAAGGGGCCTCATTCTGGTCCACCAAGCTGACGTGGAGGGCGTTCTTCTGCGCGATGATGACCGTCTTTACTCTCTACGCCATCAAGAGCACTCAGAACTTGTGGGGACAGCAGGTACGCGTTTGGTCCGTTGTCCTTGTCGTTGTCTGTTGTTGTTGTTGTTGTTGTTGTTGTTGTTGTTGACGTCCTGCACAGGAGTTGTCCGAGATTCAACGCTTCCTCAAGATGTGAAGGGATATATATGGTATGACGTATTGGTATTCCTTCCTTGTGACCGGTTCAAGTCGCTCCTACACCTGATGGTGGCAAAGCAACAAAGCAGAGATAGTGCTATTGTGCAGCAGTACGCCTGACGGACAGAGGGCATTGGTGTTGGCGGGCAACGGTTCCACCGGAAGCTCGTAGATGGAGCGGTTCCGAAAGGCATTTAGGGATGGAGACATCGCGACAACTATGCACAGAAGGGCGATGGCGGTGCACTGCTGGGGCTGATAACGGCGTTGGTGGTAGCAGCAATGGCCGTGACCGTACCACTCCGGTACGTGATCGCGTCGACGATGTTGGTGGCAGCGACGTGTTAAATGCCGAAATCGAAGCATCAAACTAGTCAGCGGCTGGCTAGCCCAACGGCTGGATTTGGTTTCGGCTTCTTGTATGAAGGGTTATCGTCGTGGGATCCGAATTTCCCAACACTTTTGCTGCGGGCATCTACGGCGAACATTAACATTTACTTCCAAGTATTCTTATTTTCTGGTATATTTTTGGGTTTTCGAAGGAAAAAAGGTGAACGGTGTTGACCCCCCCCCCCCCCCCCC